CGCTGGCAGACGAGTAGAACCTGTAAAAGGGTTTTTGTTTTGTATATTTATACATTATTCGAAAAAATTTATTTTGTTCTGTAAACTCTAAAGTTCTGATATCATATCTGTATATATAATTATTATACATATCACATGAAAATACTAAATTGTATTATATTTTTTTTATCTACACGTAGATATTTTATGAATCCACTGCATGAAATGACATGAACATGAATTGCGTCTCATATCGAATATCGAGACGTGACACCTAAATAGCAACAAGGTTTCATTTTCACTATAATCTTATTAAGCTATGGTCTTGTGTTAGAGAATTAAAGGAAACTATAATCTCCAAATATAACAAATTCAAGTTAATTAAACTTACTCAACTAGATTTGACATCATCTTCGTCTAACATGCTTATTATTGCACATGATTTGTTATGGTTTATATGTCGATACCAAAACTTTTGATTAATATATTGAACTAATTATTCTAAAAGCTTAAACAGATAGTGAAGTGTCCAATCAATTACTTATATTTAGATCACCCACATGTGCAATTACATATGATGTAATTTAAATTATTTACTATTATTTGTGCATCAATACAGTACAATTTCTTTTTGAAAATTCCCTGTGTATAATCAAAATGATCATTTTATAGTAACAAGACTTTTGATCGATCTATCATATATACAATGTAACCTCAATTAAACTATAGAGAGAGCTTTAGCATAATTCAAATTACAAGAGCTGGAAAGAAAGCATTGATTACAAGCTTCATATTTCTTACATGACTTATCTCTTTGGGTTGATAAATATTTATGAAATATTGATGGGTAATGCAGAAAAAAATGAGTATCATGCAAGGTGGAAGAAACCAAATCTATTTTGATAAAACAATCTATCTTAATTAGAACGAAAGCTTATCACCTGTTCAGTGCCGTAATGGCCTTTCTCAGTAGGGTTCCCCCGCAGAGTAAGATTAGTTACACATACATATATTCACATACAAATATATATACATGTATATTTGCGTAAATATCTGGATCATTATCTTTTTTTTTTTAAAAAAAAAAAGAAAAATTAATTAAGATAAAATATATGTGTGCATTGTTTTATAGGCACATGCAGTCAGGGACGGGCACGTTCAACATAGGTGTTTTTTTGTCTGTGAGAGTGGGTGTAGAATGTAAGCATGTGGGAGCAATGGGGAGGGGGAAAGGAACAAAACTTGTCATTTGCAGGGCAGAAGCTGTTTGTTTCAAGGCCTTGAAGGGTTTGACAACTTGTGGGTATTTCTTGTCTCTTCCTAAAAAGGACTTATAGTTTTCACTCACTCTAAAATAACAATTATAAACTTTTATTTTGGTATGTCTCTAAAAAATATAAAAATTAAATTTAGATAATTAAAAAAGAAAATAGACATCATTCACCAAAATATACAATTTCCTTGAATAGTTTACCTCAAAGTCAATCTCTGGGTTCTTTGTCACATGAGATTTTAATTGGGTGTGAACATAGACAGTCAAATGATAAATGTAAACTGCAAAAAATTAAAAAGGTGACCTCCATGATCGAAGTTGAGCCACGCCTTTTGCCACTAACTATTAGGAGTGAAAAGTGAAGAAGAAAGAGCCAAAGAGATAATAATAATAATAATAATAATAACGTGCGTTTTGATAGACAGACAACACTACAAGTATTTAATGCAAGCCCACCTGGATGATAGGCCTCAGAGAAAAAGTCTAAGAGAAAACCGCAGTATCAGTTTCAATCAAGGCAGGGTCTTCTTGTAGCTCATTATATATGTGTGTGTGTGTGTGTGTGTGTATATATATATATATATATATATCTACATACATACACGCACATGTATATATATATATATATATATATATGTATACATGCTTGATTAAAAATTATCTCTTAGACTTTGAAGTGAGACGGAAGCAAAAGAAGATGCCACTTCTTCCTCTTCCACTAGGTGGGGTTTGACATCTTGTTTGGATGTTTAATATGTGTAAGTGTGAGTATATATTAGTGTTTGACCCATTTTCCATTTGTTTAATTATGTGGTTTGACCATCTTCGTCTTCAACTATTATTAATTCCTATACTTTTTCTTTATTCATCAACCGACCAACAAATGAAAAACAATGCAAAGGATAGACAGGTATAAACCAACAAATGACAAACATAGGAAAGGAGGTAAAGTTATAAAGGGATTCCAACAAGCTATAAACTCTATTCAATTTATTTATTTTTTAGGGTTTATGAACTTTTCTATATTCTAATCGATATAACACATTAAACATTTTATCTCGTAACATATTCAAATTGAATGATAAACATAAAATAGTTTATTAATATAGTACTACATTTTTTTTTTTTTGGTGTAAAGAGTCTATGGCACTAGATACCAAAGAGATTAGATTAGTTTCTATTGGAGCACTTTCATGGCCATTATTTAAGTATTTCAAGTCAAAAAGAAAACATTTTCAATCAAACATTAAAACTAGAACTTGAATTTGTAACAAATCCAACACTGAAAGGAGACCCAAGATCAAGATCAAGATCCATCCATCAGTAGAAGTTTTCTTGAATCTTTTTCTGCAAAGGTGATAATGCAATATAAGAAGGAAATTTGACTGGTTTCTATAGGAGCACCTTTTTTTAGCACTATTTAAGTGTTCGGGTCAAACAGAAAAAGATTTTGAATAAGATTTTTCAAAAACAACGACATGGATTTTGACCCTTTTAACAAATCATAGATGAAGAGATGCACGACAAGAAGGAAAAGAGATGAGTTTGTGAATGAGAACACTTTCATGACCAGTATTCTTAAGTGTTTTGGGGAAAAAAGAGAATGTTTTTTTCTTCTAAAGTCAAATATTCAAAAACAACGACGTGGGTTTTGGGCCTTGGGCGTCATTGGTCCTTAGCAATCTACACTACGTAAGACTAGATAGAAATCAAGTTTAGAAAACTTAGAAGCATCCACAGATTCAATTGAATAACAATGGGCAACGGGAAAATTCTCACCAGGGGTAGCTCAAGTTATAGAATTTTATTAGATTCTCTAATTGGAGCTATATTATGTCCTACTTACTGTTCAAGTAATCTTACACTATTACAAAGTGGATAAGGTAATAATAACACTACCAAATGAGCTCACATTTTATTCCTTATAAGCAATGTATAACGACATTTTTGAATTTAGGTCTTCTATTGGGTTGGTCTTAGCAATTAGTAATACGGAAGCACCCTCTCATGCTTATTGTCATTAACACCACTCATTTTGGCAATGTAGTGAGTCTAAGTTTATCTCTTGAAAGTCAAGAATACAAGCTATTAATGATTTACATTCTATCCTCCTAGACATAATAGTCTACAAGGATAACCCCTTTTTTAAGGGATATCTCACGAAAGAAATAATTTTGACCAGAGCTGGATTGAGCCTGAACAAAATATCAGTTATTTTTTTTATTTAAAAAAATGCTCACATGATTAGTCTAGTTGATCTCTTCTAACTGAATTTCTGTTGGTCAAAGTCCAAAAGAAGTTGTTTAGAAGTTAATTACTCATTTTGGAAATGATGATCACTTTGAAAGAGTCATGACAAATTAATGCTGAAAACAAAGCATCCTAATTCATGGTCACTAATATTTGACCACCTCATCCACATATCATTAGAAGAAAAATTAAGCTAATAAACGCGTGTAAAAACAATCCTCAAAGACCCCAGCTAAAAACATAGTTCAATAAATCTCTCGACCTAGAAAGCTGTATCCTATTCAAACAGGTTCACTTCAAGCCACAAGCAATTGCAGAGATAAGAGATTAAATGACGAGATTCTTCACCAGAAGTCTCAATCCAGAGAAGTCTATGTTGATTCTTGCCTGTCATAAAGCCGCAAACCTCGAAATTAATTGCTATAAATGAACGTATCATCAAGGAATCTAACAATGACCTTGCTTAATAGCAGAGTGCAAAAGGCAATGAAGTTGCCTTCTGTTACTAGTAGTAGCACCAAAAATTACCACGGAAATAGTAGCAAAATGACAAAGATTAAAAATATCCAATCAAGATGTTGTTCCCACACCACGATGTAACATTTTGTCGGTAATGAAACAGTTACAATTGCTGAAAGTTGGTCAAGAAAACATGCACCGGGGTAAAGTGGGTGGTCCTATAGCACTTTTTATCTAGTAGACACAAATGACTTCTGGTCAATATTTTACGTATCTGCTGGTTATTTGACAAACTAACCCTGGTTGGGAACATTCCAATAATCACATGGAACCGTTGCACAATTCAGTCAATATTCTCTTTGCAGCAATAGTTGGGAGAATTTTACCTGGCTAAATAAAATTTTGAAGGAAAAAAAATATATGAATAGTAATAGAACAATTACCAGGTGCAACTTCAAACTGTTACATCAGCAACCCAGCAGGCTGTCCAAAAATATTGACATCGTCACTTGAAGTGTCTTCCCTGTTAACATGGTGAGGACCTGGTCACTCACATGCACCTATAATCCTATGCCACAAGCAGAGTGGGGGTTGGAATGGTTTCGGCTAAAAGCATGGAACAATATCAAATCAAATACAGACAGGAGCAAAACCAAGAGAAACTCATTTTTCAATGTATCTTTCTATACCTTCCATTTCCTTCATGCAAACTTGTTATCAACACCATATTGATATTAGGTTAAATGGCAACGAGCCAATCTTATCATTCTGCATTTTAACCTAGTACTAACATGGCTCTCTAAACTAATTACAGAAAATGAAATGTTGGGTCTAATATGTAGAAGTTCAAGTGGAAACACCAATTGACAAGCAGTTGAGCACCAATACCGTAATGCATACACGTCCTTTTGCAGCTGAAGAAAGGAGTCTCCAGGGATGAATCAACCAAACTCTAGGCCTGTCATAATTTCTGTTCATAACTAGGCCCAGAATTAGGCATGACAAGATCAACCCAAAACCTGAAGGTACAGTTGACATCTTGGGCCAACAAAGAATCATGAACCTTAGCCCACACACTACTGGACCTAAATCTAGTATGTTTTCAATTGATCATTGGAAGCCGGTTTTTCCAATAAGTTTATTTGGATGGGAAAGACAAGGGTGGCAAGTGGTTCAATAGCTGATAGGCATGGCATTATCTTTTTTTTTTTTTTGCTAGTATTAAAGATTATTTCATTGCAGACCTTGAGTATTTTAAGTCAATGGTCAACCTCTAAACCCCAAAGAGGATCTGGGAAACCTACATAGATACTTTGCTGCACTTTGGTACTATGTAAAAGCTTTTTTCTTCTCCATAAGGGTGGCATCCTCTTGGCACCCTGTTTATACGATTATCTATCAATATAAAGGTTACTTGGCTGGGTAACAGAGGATTTGGTGGGAAATTGAAGAAAAATTCCATAATATCCTGTATATACCAATATTCATATGCAACTCTTTTAGTGTTGCTACTAAGAATATTTTTATTTAAAAAATATACTATCAGTTACTTAAAAATCTAAATTTATTTTCTTTTCTTTTTCTATCAATTAAATACCTTAGAAATTGAAAACAAAAAGAAAAAGAAAAGAAATCTCGAGAAACACAATCTCTCTTCATAATTCATTTTCGTCACAAGACAAATATATATCATGATTTTTGAGATTTTTGGTATGGAAGAAAAGCAAAGAGGATATATATGATAAAAAAATAGATATGATCATAAGAAGTTTCATTGTGTGCGCGTATCCATACATAGATACGGCAAGTTTTAGGCTCTTAAGCCTGATCAGCAACTTGCTAGGCTAACCTAAGCATGCAGCAGCAAGCAATCCTCCAATATTATGGCCAACCTTCCAACTATATATGCAAGCATCCAAGCCCGGGACATGATAAATATTAACCCAATTCATCGGACATATGTATTTAACATCAAGAGTTTTATCTTTTTCTTTACAGGGTTTAATTTTCTCGAATAAAAATGTTATTATGGTAAAGTCATTTTTTTTCAATAACACTGTCATGGATTACTCTTTAAGTTTTCTCTGTTCTCTGAGGTATGTGATGTGAATGATGTGGACCTAAAAGAATTAAACCTTCAAATGACAGGCCAAAATGTAGTTTAGCATAATATAGCAGCTGCAGTGGTTGCCAAAGAGAGGCACATCAAAGATTGGATATACAGTGTATCCCTTAAATGTTGTTAGTTGCCAATTGCTTGCGCCGGAGATAGAAATGGTGCTCAAGTTGTAGCTTGAGAGTTGAAGCATGAATTTCCAAAACAAGAGAGTTCAGTGTGAACCTTAACAATACTTTACCTACTTTCACTTAAAAAAACCTTACCTATTTGTTGTTTCACACCATCCAAACAAGCACGTCAATTAATACTGTCCCCAACCACGTCCTACAACAGTTGAAACTTTTTCTGCCATCTTCTAAGCTCATGGGATCAATCCTCCCCCATGTTCTGAACTGAACAGAAAATTGCCATTGACAAGTCAGTAACAAGGTTGAACCTTCATATGCTGCCCGTTGTGGAAAACATTATGAAGTGGGCTGAGGTGACTATGTATGAAAAACTAGAATCCATGTCAACGGGACACAACATTTTAGGCCTTTCAAATAGACAACTTTCTATAAGCTGCCAGTAAAAATTAAAAGAGACAAAAAGCATGGGGATTTATTTATAGCTAGCATGACAATGAAATTAAGAGAATGCCCTGGAATGTACCTCAACTAAAAGATGGCCTTAGTCTAGTTCTGGATGTCAATGAATATTGATCACATGAAATCTGCTAAGAATCTGCAATAAGGGTTTCTTCTTGAGAACTACAAGGATTCTGCAACAAGGAAAAGGAACGAGAGTGGCAAATATTCATTATTTATGTCAATAAATACAAAGAAATAAATATTATATAGCAGACAGTCATTTGTCATGCAAGACATGTGCATGTTCACATCTAAGTTCAATATTGCCCCTCAATAACATCAGGCTGAATCTTCTAATAAACTCTGAATGCATTGAGGCACAAATTATTTATCTTGTATTCATCTCAAATTGACCTTCCAGGTTATCCATTTCTCTACATTACTATTTGGTACAAATATATTTACCTTCCAGGTTATTGATTTATCTGCATCAGTATTTGGTACGGGTATTATTTCAAAAAAAGTAATTGGTACAGGTATATTACCTTTAGCATCCATTTCTCTGCATATATTTGGTACTGGTGTATTACCTTTAGTATCTTATTAATTACTTTATCTTCAAGACTAATATTAGGATTTCTGTTACTCCCAGAGACAAAGTATGTAGTGATTAGCCATAATCAGTTATATTCTGCACATCTAACTGCTGGAAAGAGTGAATACAGTGCTCTCGCCAGTTTTTGCTATCAGTTACGAAAAATACCAGTCTTGGGCTCTTGGAATATGCAACATTTTCGAACACTAACAGAGCTTATAATGTCAGAGATTAGGTAACAACATTAAATCTCTTGATCTAGGATTTTTCACAGGCAATGCACCTAAATCCTTCCTAAAGAAGAATGTCATATGCTGACTGAATCATCTCAGAAATTTCCTAGTCCCAAGATCTACTGTTTGACCCATTTTTAAAAATTTTCATCTGCAGAAGAAAACTCCGTCATAATGCATAAAATGGCACCTTAAAAAAGGAGGACAAAAAAGAAAAAGATACAAAAAACTGGATGGAATATGTATCTGTTTTTGTAAAGCAAACAAAACTATTGGATTAGCTTCCACAATGCTGATAACAATAAGGTTCTGCTGGGCTCAATTCTCATTCTATTTATAGTTAAGCCTTTTCTCAATTTCATATCAGTTCATTTACTTTTGTGGTTTTACCACCTTAGTATTCAATCACAATTGTACTTCAGTCATCAACCAAACCAACATTGAAAAGGAGAGAAAAATATAAACCAAAAAATGATAACATAGCAAAGAAGAGAAAGGTATAAAGAGAGTCCAACAAGCTATAAACTCTATTCAATGTATTTATTTCTTTAGGGTTTATGACTTTTCTAAGTATCACTGACATGGGATTATGTTATGAGAAATTACAACCCATGAATTCTTTGATATAGAATGTTGCTCAAGCAATGCAGGCTATGGGTAATAATTGGCTGTCTATCAAACAACAGCTTCTTCCAAAACCACTTCTGCTACTTGACCCAGCTCAGAAATTTATCATCTGCTGAAGAAAAACCACGTCATTCCATTTTCATATTACTCTTGATATATAGGATTACAACATAATTTTATGTTTGAATCCACACCTACTCCACCTTAAATTTTACCCCTAATAAAGTTAAGGTGGGAGGGAAATAATAAAAAGTAGGAATTAGAATCCTGCCACTAAAGAATTTAGGGTGGGAGTGAACATAACTAAAGCATAAAAAACAATATTGTAAATTGTACATATCAAGAATAATAATAAAAAAATAATAGTATAAATTAGCTGAGCTCAATGTGCACGAGTAGAAGCTCACACGAAAGCTCATGATTAACGTGCATGAGTAATTTTGGTTTTAATCTTGTTATTGCAGTACTAATGTGAACTCACAAGCTTCGTATATGTAAATGCCGGAACTCTTAATCACTCGTATCTCCAGGATTGGAGAAACCATCAATTGCAAGCTGCTTGTCATTTGTACACATAATCCCGAGAAGAAAAATCATTTGAAATCACAATCCCAAAAACGATGAAGAAAATCTAAATGCCACAAAATATTTCCCTATAAACTTTTTGCTTGCCTAAAGGAGCCCGAATGGACACCTATTATCTTCTAAATTTCCTCTTCCGAAAAGGATTTATAGCCTCTTGCAGTAAATAGTTTGCGCCAAAAAGCTAACAGGTTTAGTGAGCACGCAAATCCCAATACGAGTACTTTAGTTTTAAGGAATTTGATGATCGATAATTAGCAGGATACCTGAAATCAGTGAAACATTATGACGTAATCGTGCATTGAGAGGGATCTTTTCATGGCGTTCGTCTGTCTCCTTTCTTTCTTGCTGCTGCTGCTGCTTTTCCGTGCATGAAACTTTTTTCGGCTTTTGTCCGGTTATTTCTCCTTATATAACACTTTAATCCTCAAATTTAACTTAATTAATCATTCAACCCCTAAACTTTGAAGTTTTATACTCCCACCACTCAGCTTTTCTCCATTTATTCGCTATTAACATTTTGATATGTTACTTCCAAAATTTTACTTCCTTAGCAAAATATTTTTATCCTCAAAATTGAAATTATCTGTAAAGGCCTGAAACTTAAAAGAAATGACTTTCTATTTTAAATGCAGAAATAAATAATAATGTTAGAGTTTACATTTCTTATACAGTAAAATTAGAATGTTCAATAGGGTTACAAAAAATGTTCATTCTACATTGGTTTGAAAAAAAGACAAACGGTAATTAAAAATAAATAAATAGATATTTTAGGATTTAATCTTCTCTAGCACTTGAAGGGAGTCCGAGAGGTGAACTACTCACAACTCTCTTGTTGATCGATATTTAGATCTTAGTCTTCTTACTCTGCAATGGTTAATAAACGGGTGAACTACATTAGTACAGTAAGAATGTTACACTAATCATTTATACGAAAATTCGAATGTTGGTAAAAATTACAAAACAACTAATGAAACTATTGATTTAAGTAAATACTCTAAAACATTTTATTCCATATTTACTGTTATAGGTTTTTCCGAAAACAACCTATGAAGAAAAATAAATAAATGATTTTTTCGTGCATAAGATCAATAATTATTCTTTTTAACTTACTTACTGGGACTTCTGGGGGTCCATAGGGATATTCATTTACGCGTGGACTTAGTATCAAGATTTGATAATTAATCTGACCGTTCTCATACTCCGTCCGATAATGAGCGCTAAAAACACCATCGTTTTGATACCCCGTTCGGTATGAGGGTGAACCATATCTCCCAAAGTCCTTCTAGTATGGAACTTCTCAGTCCCGTACGACTGAGGTAATGTTCACGATATGATTCTTTATGTACCAGGTCTGTTCATCCTTTCTCATGGTACCTAGTAACCTTTCATTTTATAAATTCTTATCATCTAAACAACCATCAAACGCATACCAACATCTCATAACATATTCATAAATTAATTTAAACGATTTAAGTGAGTGATATAGTTTAACATAACCGAATAACCAAGTAATCAGATAACCAAATAAATAATGCAGGAGAAATCAAATAAATCAATTAATCAAGAAGATCATCAAAACTATTAATTTAATACGCACAATATAATAACAGTAATTTAATTAGTATAGAAAAATAAATAGAGAATCATAATAAATATAAACTAACCGGTTCCGATTCCATTAGTGACCTATAATTATTTTTTTAAGATTTTTCTAATTTTCACAAAACATAAAATTATCGATTATTAATTTTTAATTTACCGTAACAGAGAATAGTGTCAGGAATTTTTACCCAAATCGGTGTTTCGAAACGCCTCCTACTCACTACGCCGCTTGGTCCGAGTTTCCTTAATTTTTCCTGTTAAAATCAAAACACTCGTTACATACCCAAAAATCTAAAATCAGTGTCGAAAACTATTTCCAACCAATTTTAAAATTTTGGCACGATGGTAGTTCACCTCAGTCTAGTCGGTTTTGGTCGGTTTTGACCACTTTTATACATATCCCTACGAACAAACACATTAGGAACGCTCGGTTTGCTAGAAAAACCAAAAAAAAAACCTACCGACAGGGGGGTCTCCAAGTGCGACGGCTCTGCCAATTCTCCTTCGTAGTTGGAGTTTTTTCTTTAGCTAACTTGCACAGAAATGGATGGTGAACACAATGGTCAAAGAATCGTGTAACATGAAAAACGAGAAGGGGCTCTTCGAAGGGAGTTTAGGGTTTTGGCCGTAGTGGTTCCGTTGGGCTTTACCCGCGATTTCTAACTCACCCGTCGTCCCTTTTGCACTGATATGATCACAGGGAGACTCGGAATTGAATTCTGTGCGAGAAAGAAAAATTTTCTACTTTGTTGGCAGTAGGTGATGGCTTCGATGTGGAGGTGGCTGATGGTCGGCCTCTCACTTCAGTATTTGGTTCTTATTCTCCAGCGAGGGCAGGTGCGGCTAGGGTTAGGGTTCCTTGGAATGTGATGCTTAAATATCCACCCCGTGTCGATTTGAACTGTCCATTTAGGAACGGGTGACTCTCTCTCATTCAGTAGATCTATCTTATTCAGAGAATGAATCTAGGCCACACGATCGGATTAAATCTGACTGTTCGATCCCGTTTAAAGAAGGAACACATCTGGACCGTTCACGTGCGCGAGATTAAATCTGGACTGTCAGATTGCTAAACACGCGGATTGCTTGCATAGCTTCCGGGTGGTGCCGATGTCAACAGGGTTGCCACATGACATGTTCTGGTTCACCGAGACTATTGACTAGGCTATCCTACGTGACTAAACTTTCATTTTTTTCTATTTTAACCCCTTATTTTCAATTTTTTTTCAAAGACACCCATTAAATTCAAAATTTCACATCTTTTTCCTAAATGTATTTTCAATTTTGTCCCTAGTCCATTTTTTATCAAAATTTCAATAAAATTAACTTAAAATAAATCGAATTAATTATTTATATAATTTTTTTATAATAAAAAAAGAAATTCCGGGTTGATTTTCAGTTTATGGTATTACATTATAACGCCCCTTTTTTTTTTTAAGGGCATAGTCTAAAACAATTCCGCACCCACACACAAAAGCGTCATTCTAAATCCACCACAAACATAGAAACCTTACCGCGAATCTATTACTCAAAATCACAATAAACCTGCAACCCTACATGAAATATCATAGTGAAGGATAATTTCACAAACTCACAGCAGACCCACTATCTACACTACTACTAGTTATTACACAGTCAATCATGCCAAATGACGAAAACATTATTGCCCGGTTCCTCTATCTGCTAGGCTCGAAAATCAGCAACTTCAATCCCGACTCTATTCCTACTCCATCTGTAAATGATACAGAGTGAATATATACAACTCAGTATAGTAAAAATTAAGTTACAGGCATCATACACAACAATAGGAAACTCAGAGATCCTATATGTACCCCACCTACTTAACCTAATACCTACCCTTGGTAATTTAAAAGATAATGCATGTTAATTGTGACCGCCCCTCGACGTCCCATAACCGTACAAATACACTCACTCATCACCAGTATCGGCGATCACCAATAAACTGCCTATCTCTCGACACCTAATAGGCCACACACACACACACACATATACCATTCTCACCTGTCACCAGTATCAGCGACCACCAATAAACCGCCTATCCCTCGACCCCTAATAGGTCACGCACACACCCAAATACCATTCTTTCCTGTCACCAGTATCAGCGCTCACCAATAAACCGCCTACCTCTTGACCCCTAATAAGCCACACACACACACAGATACCATTCCCACCCGTCACCAGTATCGGCGACCACCAATAAATCGCCTATCTCTCGACCCCTAATAGACCACACACACACACAGATACCATTCCCACCCGATACCAGTATCGGTGACCACCAACAAACCGCCTAACCCTCGACCCCTAATAGGCCATGCACCCACCCAATTACTATTCTTTCCTGTCTCCAATATCGGCGACTAAACCCCTTTCCCGTCGAAGTCCCCCGACAATCACCACTATCAGCGATCAACTTACTTTTTCTAGGTAGCGATAACTAATATTGGCGTCCCCTAATGCTACCAACTCAACACAATATCATCATGTCCGTGCATAAGACACGCACTAACACTTCATACACTCACACCTGTAACGTTCCCTTGCCAACTATCACATTTACAGCAGCTATACCCACCTACATACAACTTATACTCTCACACCACACAGTTATACCACTCATCCCCTCTCCCTACACAGAGAACCCCCACACCCCTATTCCGACACTTCATTCCCCCAGTCTACGGCCTCCATTTTCTCCTCCCAAATCTTCTACATCCACACACACTACTGCCTCCCTTACCCATATCCACCTCACTCACCAAATCTCTTCTTCTCTCCCCCTCCACGGCCTACTCTAGATACTCCACTCTCAAATCCCGAAATCACCTCTCTCTCCTCCCGTGATCCCCTCTGCAAACCTCCATTCGTGCTCACACAACATCCCCTCCCTCTCACGAACCTCACTCACACACCACATGTAATGGCCCCCGGAAATTCAAAAGGAAATACGTATAATAATTTGAGTGCGAAAGTGAAATAAAAGATTAAGGCTAATATCCCTTACATAATAACTTAAAAGTACTAAACAATATAGCGGAATAAGTTCTCTAAAAAAAATACGATAAATGAGAATAATAAAGGAAACTATAAAGTATCTAGCATCTACTCGCTGTCTTCTTGTGGATCAGGTTCGGGAACCAGGTCCTCCTGATCTGAAATAGTTAAATAAAGAATGAGCTACACTAGCTCAGTAAGGACATCACACTATATTACCGTCACAGAAGTAAAGGTTGGTAGAAAACTGAAAACAACCAATAGAGCACAAATTTTAAACCAATACAATTATTTAAAATAAAATCACTTACCCTTTTTCTTACCCTTGGATAACCTGTGAAAACAACCTATAAAAATAATAACATCATACAAATCATAATTTCATGCATAATCAGTAATATAAAATACATCATAAACCCGTATTCATTAACAATAACTGACTATCACCATTTCTTATTTTTCACCAGCCTACTAGTATCTATGGGGATCCATAGGGGTCCCTGCCATACGTGAACCATTCCCTTTAAACAATCTTAATTGCAGGGCCGTCCCCATACCCCGTTTGGTATAAGCACCAAAACAATAAATCTCAATATCCCGTCCAGTATGAGGGTGAAGCGAGCTGTCCCCATACCCCGTCTGGTATGAGTGCCAAATAACCAAGTCTCCATACTCCGTCCGGTATGAGACAACGTTCACAGTAGGGTTCCCTATGAACCCGGTCTGTCACCATCTCCCAAGATATCTAGTGAG